CTCGAGCTGCAAATAGGCTTCTGTGGGTGGCCCTTCTCACTTTCCAGAAATAATTAGGAGCCATCTGTCCTCGTGTTGGTTTTGGGGGAAGAGAAATGGGAGGTTTGGCGCCCCTGCTGAAGCACATGCTGAGAGAGGCACCGACCCGTTCCGTGGACGGTGCTGCCTATTGACAGACATGGGTCTCAGATGTCCATTCAGTGACCCAGGTGCTTCTGCCACAGCGTGGAGCCACTGTCTGGGTCCACACTGGCTTTGCAGGCCTGTGAGACGGGTCCTGGGAATGTGTGGGGTGGTGCGCCCAGAGCCTCCGGGCTGTGACGAGCTGCTGCCTGCCGCCCACAGGCCAGGGGGGCCCGGAGTGGCCGTGCAGCAGCCCCCCAGTGCTCCAGGAACCCTGCGGGGGGCCCCAGAAGGCTGGGTCGTGGCCTGTGGGCTGCTCTGCCTGCCTGCATAATTGTAACTGCTCATTTCCTCCTTTCTCCTCTCTAGTGTCCAAGAAATTAAGTACTTATGAGTACCTGACACAGGGCCACCATCAAACACCACAAGTCCCAGTAGGGGCTGAACCGCTCATCATCCAAGTGAAAACGGCACAGGCACCGGGTGCCCCTCTGCCTCACCATCCGTGTTATCCAGGCCCGGGAAGCAGCCAGTGGCACCTTGCAGCTGGGGCTTCTCAAACACAGGCCTTTGCTTCTGTGTTGGCACAATCCTCTCATTCTCTGTGTGTGCACACGTGTGCATGTGGTTGTGTGAGATGCAGCTCAAGTGTGTATATGTGAGTCTGTTTTTGTGATGCAGTGTATGTGCATGTGTGTTTGGTGTGTGATGCAGTGCAGGTGTGTGTGTGCAAGTGCACATGGTGTGTGTGATGCAGTGTGTGTGTGTTTGGTGTAAGATGCAGTGCATGTTTGCATGTGTGTGAGTGCATGTGTATGATGCAATGCACTTATGTGGTTGTGTGTGCATAGTATATGATGCAGTGCGTGTGTGTGGTGTGTGTGTGGTGTGTGAGACACGGTGCATGTTTGTGTGTGTGACTGAGTGCATGTGTGATTCAGTGCACGTATATGTGTGCGTGTACATGGTGTGTGTGATGCAGTGTATGTTGTGCACATACACATGGTGTGTGCGGCACAGTACATGTGTGTTTGGTGTGTGATGTGCTTGTGTGTTACATCATTTGTACATTCGCTATGCATAGAATCAAGCCTGCAGGGCTGACTCCTCTTAGGCCCATATATCAATGCAGCTGCTTCTCATCAAAATGAAAACATTTGCTTTTCGAAAGGTCACCAGTAAGAAAATGAAAATACAAGCCACAGGCAGAAATGAAATATTTGTAAATCCTATACTTGTGTCCAGTATAAAGAATTAAAAATTCAGTTATAAGATAAATGATCCAGTGTTTTAACCTTTTAAATGGGCAAAATATCTGAACCAGCTGTTCACCAAGGAGGGCCCAAGGGTGGCAGATAAGCACGTCGACATCGTTACCATCAGGAAAACACAAAACCACAATAAGACGCCATTACACACCCATTAGAACGGATAGAATCAAAAGTGAAGCTGCAGATATGAAACTTTACAAGTGTGGATATCAAATCATATCACTTTGAGAAGCAGTTTGGTGTTTTCTTAAAAAGTGAAATACATATTTACATTTAAGTCAGCAATCCCATTTCCACTTTCTCACCCATTAGAGCGAGAACACAGGTATTCACGTACCAAGGGTGCTGGGAGACTCTGAGGTACCATTACTCAAAATTAACTAATAACTGACTGGAAGTTTGTGTAAGAGTAAGCTCCGTGTCAACAACTTTTTCACTTTATGAATTTTTATCGCCCACAGTAGGCACATGACGACCCGAGTTCATTGCACGTAGTAAGTGTGTAAGCTTACCAGAGGTGTTCTGTCTGAAAAATACTAGATGTTTTTAATAGTTTTACTTTAAAAGATTTTTTTTTTTTTTAAATTTCTAGGAGAGAGAGAGACAGCGTGAGCAGGGGAGGGTCAGAGAGAGAGGGAGATACAGACTCTGAAATTGGCTCCAGGCTCCGAGCTGGCAGTCAGCACAGAGCCTGACGGGGGGCTCGAACCCACGAACCGCGAGATCATGACCTAAGCGAAAGTCGGACGCTTGACCGACTAAGACACCCAGACGTCTTACTTTAAAAAGTCTTCGTTACTCCAAGGTTATACAAATATCCACGTTCTCTGCTAATATTTTCACCATTTTTATTCGTTCTGCATTTTAATTTCCCAGCAGTCACGTCACCCCAGCCGGCGCCCGCACTTCGCCCAGAACCTGGTGCCCCGGCTCCCCCGGGAGACCCTCTTCCGCCGCGCCTTCACCTGAGCTTCCGGTAGGGAGCCCCCGCGTCATTCCTTTTCATAGCTGTTGACAATCCCCCACGTGTTTATTTTCCGTACAAATTTTAGAACAGTATTTGTGCGGTTCCGAGAAACGCGGAGCTCGAAGCGGAGTTACGACGCCGGGGCGAGCGGCGCCCCTGGTCCCCGCTCCGCGCCCGGAAACCGCCCCGGAAGTCGGTCTCCGCCAGGGGAGCGGGCCGGAAGTGCCCCACGCGTCTGGCGGTGCGCTCGGAAGCTCCGCCGGTGCAGAAATGGGTTGGGGGCGACCCCCACGTTCCGGGGGAGCGGGAGCAGGACAGGGAGCGGGCTCCGCGCCAGCTCTCCCAGCGGGAAAGGATCGTTCCCTCCAGAGAATCCCCTTTGTTTCCTTAGACACCCGGTGGCCATACTTCTGTGGAGACCCAGGCCGTTCGGAGTCTCCCTGGAAGCATCGCCTCGCCGCGATCCTTTAGGTACAGTCTGAGCACCTTCCCCTCGCTCTGTCCGGCCTGGGGAACAGCCGCCTCCAGAGTCAGGCAAGACTGAACCCGTTTTCGGGCAGCGGTGTGGACGCTGCTCGGGCTCGGGCGGCAGGAGTGCGGTGTCGACGCCGCGCGGAGGGGCCCTGGCGTCGCCGGCCGCCCCACGCGCTGCCCTCTCTGCTGGCGCTCAGGGGACTGACTTACGTTCCGTTTCCATACTCCTTTATGAGTTAGAGTCACAATGCTTTGTTTTCATAGGATTTTAGTAACTGTACAAGCCTTTAGAAGCCCCTTTCTAAATAAAATCCCATATATTGTGGTGCCCGGGTGGCACCGGCGGCTAAGCGTGGGACGTGTGGTTTCCACTGAGGTCATGACCTCACAGTGTGGGTTTGAGCCCCGCATCGGGCCCTGTGCTGACAGCGCTGAGCCTGCTTGGGATTCTCTCTGCCTCTCTCCGTCCTGGCTCCCCACAGTTCCTCTCAAAACAAACAAACAAACAAACAAAAAACCCCAAAAATTTCCGTATATTGTGAACATTCTTAAAAGAAAAAGAAATGTAATTTATGAATATAAGTTATTTCATCTTTGGGAGGGACTATATTCCTCATTTTTGGAATATTATTTTTTCTTTTTTTAAATTTTTTAATGTTTTATTTATTTCTAGGAGAGAGAGAGACAGCGTGAGGAGGGGAGGGTCAGAGAGAGAGGGAGACACAGACTGAAACAGGCTCCAGGCTCTGAGCTGGCAGCACAGAGCCCGACGCGGGGCTCGAACCCACGAACTGCGAGATCATGACCTGAGCCGAAGTCAGCCACCCAGGGGCCCCTGGAATATTATTTTTTCAATCTAGTGCTTCCTTCTTCCACTGGAAAATGAGCTGCTAACCTTCGTATGAAAAGGTTGGTTGTGTGAGACACAAGCCTGCTCAGTGCGGTGGCCTGTCTGTCACAGTGGCCTCTCTTTCCTGCACGCGTGTCCCTAGTGTGACCTGGACACTCACAGCCTTACATGTTAGGCAAAGCCTGCTGTTAGAATATCAGGTCCTAGAGATCAAAGAGTCTGTTTAAATCGCGTGGCACCATGCCAGCCCCCAGAAAGAAAACTCCACTCAGTGGGCGCCTGTGGCGTGACATGATGGTAGATCACTGGTGTATTTTAGGGGAGAACTTTGTGTAGGACTTTCTAAGGAGCTGGTCTCTAATAGTACTTATCAGACCAAGTTACTGGGAGGATTTCCTCTGGACTGTTTATCTGCTGTGGAGGTAAGATCACACGTGTGAAGCTACTTCTTGCCTAATTTTACAGGGGTTCCACTCTGCCAGCGTCCGTCAAATGGCTTGTATTAATTGTCTATTGCTACGTGGCAAATTCCCACCAATGTAGTGGCCTGAAATGACTCATCTGAAAGTACACAGGGGTCCTGTGCCTGGCAAGCTCAGCTGGGTGCCGGGCTGGTGCCTCTCGAGGTGGCAGTCACGGGTCAGAACAGGTCCGCTGCCCTTTCTGGAGATTTACGGGAAGCGCCTGTTTCTAGGCGGACTGGGTGCTGATAGACCTACTGCTCTCGCTCCCGTGTCGCCCTCTGTCTCTAAGTTGGTACCGGTGGGTCTAGTCTCCTCATACTGCAGATCTCTCGGGCTTCCTGCTTTCCCTCACTTCTCAGTTTTTAAAGGTTCTTGTGATTGCATTGGCCCTACCTGGATAATCGAGGACAGTCCTCAGTTTCCTACAGCTGCTGCAAGAAATGAGCACAGAGCGGCAATGCCGTGATCTCCAAGGCAGGTCCCTTTGTCCATTTGTAACTGAGCCCCGCTGCACCCGCAGACTTGGGAGCCCCACGGGCCAGGGTGGGGGCTCCGCAGTGGGAAGAAACGCCCTGAGGCCTCCCACCCGTGGCCTCCCACCAGCCAGCAGCGCTAGACCTTTACAGGCGGAGCTCCTGTGCGATGTCTTGTGTGCAGTCATCCCAAGGGCGCACGGACGGCCTCCCAGGAGCTGCCAGCTCTGAGGCCCTGCACATGAGGCCTCACAACGGCAGCCAGTGCATGGAGCTTTGCAGCTATCAGTGGCAAAAAAAAAAAAAAAAAAAGCACTCCTTCTTTGCTGATAGGAGTCTGTCCTTCCTTTGCCCCATCCCCGCAGAGAGCAGTGCAAGGTGGCCGTGCAAGGTGGCTGCCGAGGTGCCCAGGTCTGTGTTCCACCACCATCGCATGGCTGGAGAGCTCCCGGCTGCAGGTGAGCTCAGAGCCACGGGTGGTGCGTGTTCAATCTGGGATGAGAGCCATGGGAAGGGTCTTGGGCCGCCCCGGGGATTGAGGACAGAAAACACTTGGGATTGCTTGTTTGACTGGTTTGAAGCATTTACTCAGTACCCAGGCATGCTACTCCTATGGGAACAAAGGTGGGAGAGAAGAGAAGAAAAAGCAAGGGGCAGAAAATATTCTTAACTGTGGGACTTGTAGTGTGTGTGTGTGTGTGTGTGTGTAAGAGAAGGGAGAGAAAGAGGGAAATGCAGTACAATATGGGTTTGCTGAGACTGAAGTGGCATACGTGTGCTTTAATGAAGGATGCTGATGTCTGCACCTCACTGGCCTTCAAAAGCACCAGAAAGTAAAATGATGGATGGATAGGCACATGGTAAAAAAAAGTATTTACAATAAAATTTTTAAAAATGATAGAACCTAGATGCTGAGTTATTTGGGCATTCTTGTGCCCATTTTCTGGGTGTTTGGAATTTTTCACTTAAAAAAGTGTTAGGGAATGACTGTATGAAACAGACATGGAGTAAGGTGTGTGTGTGTGTGTGTGTGTGTGTGTGTGTGTCTGCTTTTCACAGATTGAGACTAAGGCAAGAATGTCCACCTCAAAGTTCTATTTGACATTTTACTAAAGTTCCAGCCAGTGTAATACAGCAAGAAATATAAAGACATAGATTTGAAAACAAAACTGTATTTTCAAGAAACATGCTTCTAATAAACTTGAAAAAAATATAGAAATAATAACATATCTCAGAAGGGTGGTACGATACAAAATCAGTATAAGAACCTCAATTATATTTCTATATACTAACAATGAAGAATCTTAAACTGATATTAAGAAAACTATTCCATCTCAATAGCATTGAAAATAATAAAATAAAATAAAACAAGTACCAAATCTCTATACCTAAAGCTACAAACTGTTGATAACAGCCACTGAACACAATCCAAATAAATGGAAAGATTTAGAATATTTGTGGACTGGAATGCAAAATATTGTCATGATAGAAGACTTCCCCCAAATTGATCTACAGACTTACCATTATCCCTATTGAATTTCCAGCAAGCTTTTTTATTTAAGGAAATGGCAAGCAAACCCAAAAATATATGTGGAAATTCAAAGGACTTAGAGTGACCAAAATAGTTGAGAAAAATAAGAAGCAAATTGGAGGACTTTCTCAATCTGACTTAAAAATTTACTATCAAGCTATAGGAGATAGGACAGTGTGGGCTGTGGGGGTGGTGTGCCCAGGGAGGGTGGACATGCAAGTCAAGGGAACAGAATAGAAAGTCCAGAAATAAAACCTGATCAATGCGTGTTAAACACAGGTGCCAGGATAATTAAATAGGGGAGAAATGAGAGTATATTTAATAAGCTGTGCCAGAGCAATGGGATAACCACAGGCAAATAAAAAAAAAAAAAGAGAGAACTTAATAGCTACTTCATTCCACACACACAGAAATAACTCAAAATCAATCTAGTTCTGAGTTTAAGGGCTAAACTATAACACTTTAGGAAGAAAACAGAATAAAATCTTTGTGATATTGAGTTAGACAAAGTTTTCTTTAATATGGGCACCAAAACCACTATTAAGGGAATAAAATGGAAATTTTGCCTCCATCAAAAATAAAGTGTTTGCTCTTCAAAAGTCACTACTACAGGGGCTCCTGGGTGGCTCAGTTGGTTAAGCGTCCAACCTCTGCTCAGGTCATGATCTCACGGTTCGTGGGTTCAAGCCCCACGTCAGGCTCTGTGCTGACAGCTCAGAGCCTGGAGCCTGCTTCAGATTCTGTGTCTCCCCCTCTCTTTGACCCTCCTCTGCTCACACTGCCTCTCTCTCTCTCAGAAATAAATAAAAACATTTTTAAAAAAGTCACTACTACAAAAATAGAAATATAAGTCACAGGTTGGAATAAATATTTGCAAACCCTGTACTTAAATCCAGAATATATAAAGAACTCTCAAAACTTAATAGGGAAAAATGGCCCCAATTTTAACATGGGGAGAAGATTCTAATTAACTTTACCAAATAGGATATATGGGTGGCAAATAATCAGCTGACAAGATGTTCAACATCGTTCACCACTGGGAAAATGCAAATTAAAGCCACATCAGACCCTACTTCTCACCAGTTAGAAGGGCTCCCTCAGAAAGACTCCCGGCAGAGGAGCCCAAAGCCCCATGTGCTACCATGGAAAGTCATCAGGGAATTTAAAGGGATTCCACTGTGGTAAGTAGTTTGGCAGTTTCTTAAAATCTTCAATATATTCTTAACCTCTGACACAGCAACCCCCAGGCCTGGGCTCTGCCCAGAGAGGGGCAGAATCCTGTGCATGTGGGTGGGTCAGGGGTGGGAGCAAGGGTGTGTCCCACCCCATCCCCCCAGACCCCTTCCTGGGAAGTCTCTGAGACACACTCACCTGAAACTGACGAATGATGGACCTGATTTCCTAAGAACAGCCTCGGCACCAACAATTCTTCTTTTTCGTTTACCCCCACAGGCAGCCAAAGACGACCTGAAGTCCCCCTTGCACAGGTAGGCTGTGAGCTTGCTGGGTTGTTTCCTCTGAATGAAAACAGCTACTTGCTCTTAAGCCCAATTCCTTTGGGAAAATGATTGGTGTGTGATGGGATATTGTTAAATAATGTGACAACACAATAGAAAAGAACACTGTTTCACTTACTAGTAACGTGTAAGCTGTTCAGGTACCGTTTGCACTGTAATGTGCGTGGGGAAATGTAGTAATTCTTCCCTCCCTCTGGACAACTCACACCGCAGCTAGTAGGCCGACAGCAGCGCTCATTTACTCTGTGCGGCGATCGGAGAACATGTGGGAAGCAGAGTCCGAGCCTCCTTTCTCTGACCTCTGATAACATCTGGTTTCCCATCGCTCCTGAGCCACACCCGCTCCTTCCGAGTCTGTGCAGAGTCATGTAGAAGGCAGCCCTGCCCTGGGACACGCACACACGCATGCAAAGTGCACCCCTGCAAAGTCACAGGAGCAGAAAGTGGCCCATTGTGAAGGTCATGAGCCAGGGCGAGCACACGTTTTAAAATGTGCACTTGGTCTCCACTTTGCGCACTTTGGTACCACTGGGAGAAGTCATCTCGGAACACGCAGAAACAAGAAATGGGCTCACGTTCGGGTGAGTGTCTCAGTTTGCCAGGGCTGCCATGACAAAGGACCACAAAATAGGGGGCTTGAAAAATAGAAACGTGCTGTCTCCCTGCTCTGGAGGCTGGAGCCGAACTGACCTCGTGGTGTGTCCAGGGCCACAGGGCCTGTCCTTGGCTTCTCTCCTCGGCTCGTACGTGACGCTTTTCTCTCTGGGTCTCTTCACTTTCCCTGTTCTGTCCTTTCTGGTAAGAATGATTGAAAATTAATGAGCCAAAAGATCAAAATTTTCCATCTTAATTTTTTTTCAGATTGCCAGATCAATGCGTATTCATTATAGAAAATGTGAAACTTCTAAACATTCTAAGTGTTTCAATGATGGTCTTTCCTTCCCTCTGCCCACCACTGTCCACGGCTGGCATTTTCACTGGTATCTTTTAAGTCTCCTGTGTGTAATGTTTTCATGTATATAATGTACAAACTTTTATAGGATTATAATCCTGTTGTTCACCTCTTTAGTAGGCTCTTTTATTTTTATTCTTGAGGAAGGAGGGGCAGAGAAGCAAGGGGAGAGAGAGAGAATGCCAAGCAGGCTCCACACCCAGCACAGAGCCCGACATGGGGCTCAGTCCCTCGACCTGGGATCCTGACCTGAGCCACAGTCATGAGGTGGACATTCAAGCACCTGAGCCTCCCCGGCGCCCCTTTAGGGGCCTGCTTTGAAAGCCCTGTGTATTGTGAAATTTGCTCTGTTAAAGAAAGCAGCACGAATCCACGGGTCTCAGCTGCTCCACTTGGAAGGTGTACCCCGTTTCTCCTTGTTGGGATCTCCCCATTTATGGTGTGGTCCTTGCCTGTCTGGCCAGGAATTTGAGCTGACCGCAGCCGCTGAAAGGTTAGCAAGTTTCCGGTGTGAGGGGGCACGGGGCACCTCAAAGCCCTCTGGATGCCATGGACGATAAAATGCGAACAGCCCTTCTCCATGGTGGGAAGCGTTTCTGGAGTTACCAGAAGTTTGTGCCCAGGGGAGAGATGGGTGCTTGGTCGTGCCTACAGCATTCAAGTCACACTGGTGCAGCAGACCAGACTCTGTTTCTGGAGACCAGGGCTTGTCTAAACCTCTTGTCACTTAAAGCAGTGTTTAAAAAGGTGCAGGCTTTGGGGTGCTTGGGTGGCTCAGTCGGTTAAGCGTCTGACTTCGGCTCAGGGCACGATCTCACGGTTCGTGGGTTCGAGCCCTGTGTTGGGCTCTGTGCTGACAGCTCAGAGCCTGGAGCTGCTTCCGATTCTGTGTCTCCCTCTCTCTCTGACCCTCCCCTGCTCATGCTGTCTCTATCTCTCTCTCAAAACTAAATTAAAAAAAAAAAATTTAAAAAATAAAAAGGCACAGGCGCTTACAGGCTGATGTGATGTTGACCAGGGGTTATTTCAGAGGAAAACTCCATGTTGGACTTTCTAAAGTAGCCCCATCTAGAGGTGGCCATCGGCCATCTCGGCAGATCTCCTTCTTGACTGCTTACCCCGCAGAGACAATCCCGGGGGTGGCTCTGCAGAACTTACCAGATAGGGTGGAATAGGAGTGGGGTGGGGTCACACATCTGAAGGCAGAGCTTCCGGAACCGCCCAGGACACTCGCCTGGCCTGTGGACCCTACTGCCTCATGGCAGCTGAGCACAGGCAGGGGCTTCCCAACGGCTTCCCCGTCTCACAGTCTCCACGGTGCAGAGATCCCATCGGTGACACTGGGTCCTGTGCTTCCCACCTCACGAGACAGCATCCGTGTGGCAGCGTCTCATGCATTCCGGGAGCTTCTGGCGAGGACAGCACGTCTCTGCTCATTTGGGGCATTGAGAGAGTTCGTGTCTCACGTTCTTACCTCCGGCCTTCAAGTCCGCGATGGCAGGCCAGTGTGGCCCCTCGAGTGTCTCTGAGTCCGTCCTCATTTAAAGACGAGTGCAGAGGACCCCTCAGCCCATTCAGCGTCGGCAGCGGTGCACCCCGCAAAGTTGCAGCCCAGGAGTCCAAGCCCAGGGCTGGGAAGGGCTGCTCTCCCGCTGCTCCAGGGCGGAGCCCTTGCCTCTCGCGGCTGCTGGGGGCCCTGGGCACTCGTGACCTTGGGCCCCATTGCTTCAGTCCTCCTTCCGTCTCCTCATGGCCTTTTATCTTCTACGAACACCGGTCACCGGGTTGAGGGCCTGCCTTGGTCTCAGGTGATGGCGTCTTGAGCACCTTGACTCACTCCACTTACGACAACATGAGGTCATTGGTGGACATACTTTTTGGTGGATGCTGTTCAATCCACTTACACAGTTCAGTTAGCTGAGTGACCCTCGACTCGTGTCGTCCCTGTGACTCTTGGGGATTCCTGAACATCTCTTTACTACCGAACCAGGGCATTTCCCCAAGTGCCCCCCTGACCTGCAGGGCACCATCCACACCTTCCTGATGACACCCCCGCTGCCCCTGGGGCTCTCCCCTCAGGCGCTCCCCCCCTGCCCTCCCGGGCGTCTCCCACTGTGTCGTGGACCTGAGGGGAGACCACAGGAAGGGGCTCTGTGATGCCGTGGACTGTGGCTCCTGGCAGCCATCAGCGTCCCCTCCGGGAAGCAGGGCCCGTCCTTGCTGACGCGTGTCTCCCCTTCCCCCGCCCCGTCCCACAGGGTGAAGTCCAAGGAGCTCCCACTGCCTGATGAACACTCGTACCCGCCCTCCCGCACCGTGTTTGGGGAGAACCCATGGGTGATGGTAAGAGGGACAGCGGTGCAGCAGCCGCAAACACGCGGGATCTGGTGTCACGTCTAAGCCCTCCCCCCCGGACAAGGATGGGACAGTATTTGGAACTGCTCGTCTGGCTGGTTTAAGGCATTTGTGGTGTCCCCGGGGACGCTGCTCAAACAGGGCAGTGGTGGGAGGGGATAAAAGGGAGAGGGTGGCAACGCAAACCTAAACCGTGGGGCGTGTGTGAGCAGAGAAGCAGGGTGAGAACGGGTGTCGCTGGAGTGGAAGCATCACACGTGTGCTTGGGTGACGTGTGCACTCCAGCAAGCTGGCAGGATTCTGTCTAGGAGGGTCACAGTGACTCATTTTTACTGTCACGGCAGGAGGGCACCCCCACTCCTCTCCCAGGTCAACGGGGAGGAGGGACATAGCTGGTCCACTGTGTTCGTCACGGAGCCTGGAGTCAGAACTCCGTGTTGGATGTGCTGGAGACCGTCTTCGGTGGGGACCGGGTGTGACTGGCCGAGTCACAGCTTAAACCATTAAATTAAACACAGTTATGGCATGGCCCCTCCCCGCCACGCACTCCCGTCAAGCCTTCCGATGGTACATACCTTACACCCATGACCAGGCTGGTGCTCCATCCCCGGGGTCGCCATGGTGGTGGTGACAGCACCTATTGGTGCCCCGCGCCTGCCATCCCTTCTCGGATGGCGGTTGCCACACAGCTTCTGAGTGACAGGAAGGACCGCTCTCAGGAAGCAAAGACGTGATGACCGTGTGGGTGTTGACCATGTACCCCACCTGGTTGTGATGTGTGTGCAGGTGAAAGTGCCGAAGCCCTCTCTCCGGCACCTGGCTCTGGAGCTCGCCTCTAGAATGTGTGGTAGAGCAGCCTCACGGTCACCTTATTCCCGTCCTGTCTCAGGAATCCAAGTCAGCTGTGACCATTCGTTGTCACTCTGCTGGACACTTGTCATCCATCATGATGTTTCATCCCTCTGTAGATTCTCTGAGACAGATCATCACTCCCACCTTGACGCCTAGGTATGGGCAGAGTTTGAAGAGCCCACCAGCTTTCTTCTGCTTTCAAAACTGTAAATGCCAAATAGGGACATATGGCTTTCTAATGCCACAATAGTGATAGCATGGGTGAGGGCTTTTCCACATTGGTATACTTAATGCTAAATCTTCCAATGTTGAAAAATGCATTTCTCACTTAAGAAAGGTAGTTACCTTTCCAGTCGATTTACACAAATTACCGACACTGTCGAATTCTACTGAGTTTTTAAAAAATAATGACAACTGTACACAAACCCTCGCAGAAAAGAGAACGGAAGACTGGATCCACGAGACCAGTTTCAACCTGATACCAAAGCCAGACAGCGTGAGCACGGAAGAACACCAGGAGGCAAAACCCTTCCAGGAGACACAGGCCGAAACCCTCAACTAAGTATTTAGTTAGTCACATTTAGATTTATTTTCTCCATTTTCCGAAGTGTTAAGTATATTGGCAGGATTCTTAGAGTAAAAATATATGAAATAATATTTTAAATTATTTTAAAGTCAAAAAAGTAGAAAAAGAGATACATTGGACTTTATAAAAATTTTGGGTTAGATTTGAACAAGCTTCCATGAATAAATGCTCCACCTCACTCAAGATGAGGGGAAAGCAAGCTGAAGCCCTAGGGAGATGCCACCACCCACCGGCAGGAATGGCCGGGCGCTGGCCAGAGATGGCCCCGATGCAGAGCCTCCAGCGGGTGCTGGCGGGGACGTGAAACAGGAAGGCGGTGGGTAGCGTCTCGAGTGGCCTGTGCCAGCTGCCGCGCTCCTGGTTGGTCCCCAAGGGGAGGAAAGGAGCAGACGTGTCATGGGGCACCGGCTCGCTGGGACGGCCACATCTGCGAATCAGACCGTGGCCTGAGCGACACTCGTAGCATCTTGTGATCCTAAGTCTGAGACCCAGGTGTTGTCAAGGTCGGACTCTTCTGGGAGGTGCCCCGTCAGCCCTCCGTGTCCTTGGGCGGCCCCGCCTCTGTGCATCTCTGTCCCGCTGCTGCCACGCGTGCAGACCCGCCCCAGGGGTCAGGGCTGCCCGGCGGCCGCGTGTAACACGCATCGGTCCTGAGCGGGCCCCTTGGCCAGTGTGGGCGTCGGCCGTGAAGCGCACTTCCCCACAGACCCCTTCCCTGGCCCGGGGCCCCGTTGGACACTTGCTCCAAACCGGGCAATACCGTAAGGATAAGCTTGACATTGACCACCGTCTTGTTTCCTGCTGTGAATGGTCACTTCTTCCCTCACAGGAGACATTTGCCTTCCTTCTGCGACTGGTTCTTCCTGCTCATCCCCTCTGCTGTGGGCGCGCAGGACAGTCTCTGTGATGAGCAGCGGTTCCCTGAGACGGGGCCAGACCCTTCTAAAGGGGGTGCTCGGTCCGCACTTCCGCAGAAACGTCTGCACAGCCGGAGCCGTGTCGCACCGGTGCCCTTCCCAACCCCGGGGCACCGCGTGCTGCGGGCTGGTCCCTCCCAGCTTCCCCACCACTGGCGATGCTGCGTGTGCTTTAGCCGTGAGACTAACGTGGGTTTCCTTCCGTGAGAAGTGCTTGCTCTTGTCCTTGACCCGTTTTCCTCCTGGGCTCCTTCTGCTTTTCTTATAGACTTATTTGAATTCCTTACATATTCTTGATATAAAACCCTCAGTAGTTGGGTGAATTACAGATAGTGCCACAGCAACTTAACTCCATGCTTAGCTTAACTGGACATTTGATGAGCCAGAGCCATACTCACACTTAAGCATATTTTATAATAATGCTTTTTGGGCTCAAGTAATCTTTCACCCAAGCTTCTGAAAGACAGTCATCTATACTTTCCATCACTAATTTTCAGCACTTGATTTTGAGAGTTGAGGCCTCACCCTCTGGTGTACTGGTGTGTTTGGTGGGAGGCTGGGTTCAGCCTCACCCCTTCCATTTCTGCTCTTCCAGCTGCATTCAGTACACATCGAGTGGACCTTCTTTCCCCCACTGGTTTCCTTCTGTATGTGTCATATAGTTTTTTTTCCATAATTCTTCCACTACTGCCTTTCCGTATTTAGTTGAATTTGCGTACTGTGCCATATTGATTCCCCTCTTTTTTTCCTTTTTCATATATTTTTTAGTTATCTTCTTACTGGTTACCTTGGGGATTACAATTAATATCTTAAACTTATGAGAGATATTTTGAATAATACTAAGTTAATTTTGATAATATACACTCTGATCCTATACATCTTCATCCCTTGTCCTTTGTATTGTTAATGCCACATTACATTTTTATACATTATGTGCCTATTAGGAAAGATTTATAATTATTATCTTATGAATTTGTCTTTTAAATCACATAGAGAAGAAGAGGACTTACCAACAAAAGTATGACAATCCTGGCTTATATCTTAACCTGTGTGGTTATCTTTCCTACGTCATTTCATCTACTGTCTAGAGCCTCCGTCTTAGCCTAAAGATCTCCCTTTAGCATTTCCTGTAGGGGAATCTGTTGGTCATGAATTCTTTCAGCTTTTGTTTATCTAAGAACATCTTAATTTCTCCTTTATTTTCAAAATGTGGTTTTGTTGGATTTAGAATTCTTGGTTGGCAGGTTTTATCTTCCTTCCAGGACTTGAAAGATGCCCTCCGGACTGCATGGTTTCTGATGAGAAATGAGCTGTGTTCTTATTGAGGCTCCTTGTACGTGATGAATCACTTCTCTCTCGATGCTTTCAGAACCCTCTCTTTGGGTCCTGAGGATCTGGCAGTGTTGTGTCTCGGTGTGAACCCTTCTGAGTTTATCTTGCCTGGAGTTTGTTGAGCATCTTGGATGCGTAGACCCAGCTCTTCCATCGGACTTGGGATGCATGCGGCAGTGTTTCTTCAGATGCTTTTCCTCTCCGGCCCCTCTTTTCTCCTCTTGGGCCTCCGGTCCGCCAGGTGCTGTTCGTTTACCTTCGTTCCATTTTCTCCCTGCTCCTCAGATTGGATCATTTCAATTGTCTTCAAGCTCACTGATTCTTTCTTCTCCTGCTCTGATGTTCTGAACTCTTCTAGTGAGTTTTTAATTTCACACTTTTCGGTGGCAGAACTTCCATTTGGTTCTTTTTTGTAACTCTATCTCTTTATTGATTTTCTTTTTTTGTTCATTCAGTACTTTCCTGACCTCCTTTAATTCTTTGCCTTGGCTCATTGAGCACATTTAATAAGATAACTGATTTAATGTCCTTGACCTGCTAATTCAAATGTCTGTGCTTCTTCCAGGAAATTCTGTCAAATTCTTTTTCTCCTTTGAATGGGCTGTTTTTTCCTGTTTCTTTGTCTGTTTTATAAGCTTCTGTTGAGAACTGGATATTCTGAGTATTATAATGTGGGTAAGTCTGGATATCAGATTCCCCCACCGCTCAGGGATTATGGATTTTTCCTTGGTGAACTATCAGTTTGTGACTCTTCAAACTACTTTTGCAAAGCACGTATTTCTCATTGTGAAGTTTCTCTCGTTATTTCTGTGGTCGGCCAGTGTTTCCCTTAAATGTCTGGCTGCAAATGGGGGACCAGCGCTCCAGTCGACGCTCTGGAGGGAGCAACGGCTGCCAAGGGGCAGGGCGAGCGGGCCCGTGCGCCGGCCCCTCAGAGCACTGCGGGATGGCCGAAGGGCACAGGGGCGAGTTCTGGGGCCGAGTCCCCGCTGCCTGCGCAGGAATGACGGCTGTCGTCACAGCCACGGGAGACCGAGGGCGGCTTGTCGCTGGGTTGCTGACGCCACTCGCTGGGGAGGGGTGGACAGCACCTCTCCCTTGGTGCCGTGCACTGTCTGGTCCGGCTCCAGGGTCTGGAACAGTGGACCCGCAGGCTCCCTTCAGCACAATGCTTGTTTGTGGAGGATGAGTCTCTCCCGCTTCCGGCTCCCCCACTGTGTCCTCGGGGCACAGTGAGAAGATTCGTCACCACCCTTCCCACAGGTCTCTACCCCACAGCCTCCACTCTCCCACCGCCCGGCTCTGTCATGTTTCTGTTTTCATTCTAAACGAACAGTGTGCTTCCGGAAGCATCAGGTCAGTAA